CTTGGTAATTGTACTTAGAGTGATCTAGGCTTCTTATGAAATTCACTTTTTTGGAAATCCTCCAACGTGAGCATACAGGTATGTACTCAAAGAGCAATTTAAGATATTAGCATCTATGTGATACAACTCAACACTACAATAGGCGAGAAATGTGGGCCGGTGACCGGCCCACGTGCCTGGTTACCCTTGTGAACAGGACGCAGCCATCTAGGTAAAGCCATCTGGTGCTGAGCTCATGCGAGGCACGCCTGCACCAGAACCACGTGGTTGGGTTCAAACAAGCTTCAACCTTTGAGCTGTTTTATTGACTTGAGTCCAACACTTTTTCAGAAGACTTGGACACCACGCAATCGCACTTTTCGCGTATGGTTACATGCCAAAGATTGTCGAAGGATCGAGTAACTTATGAGGCCTTGGAATAATCCTACTTTAGTGTTTTTCACTTGAGTTAATTGTTCACTTGACTCAGACTCTCGGGCATAAGGAACATCCCACAGGTATCCAAGTCAGGTGAAAAATTGTCAGCCTCAAATGTAAAATACTGTAATTCAACCCAGTGAATCATAGGCCCTCGCGTATATCTTTAGCCTCGACCTACAATGTTTGGCATTTCAACTCAAGGAAATTCACAGGTTTAATGGGGAGCCGAAGATGGTTTTTCTGCTAGCCTATGACTAGGACGGCTTCCAATTGGGTCACCTCTTTCCACCGACTGGAGAGGCTCCCATTGGTTTACCAGAACATTCGGGGATATGCCTCTGGCCCAAAAAGGAGATATCCTCTGGATCCAGACCATGCAGATTACTTACCAGGTAAGCTTGAGTTGGACCAAAAATCATCATCACATGTAGTTCGTTTTTATTCCAGGAAAGGCTACACTAGAATTTTAAATAAACGGGCAAAAGGATGATAAAGTTAATTCTGCTACTTCTAGATGGGACTGGTTTTTTAAACAGCAATAACCTGAAACCTGAAAGAAAGTCAATCAGAAATTGATGTGGTTGTCCATGGAGGAGTCTTATGTGATGATGTTCAAATGAAATAGTCCTTATTACATTCTTAATTGGAGGAGTTTATACAATGTTGTATTTAGCCACATTTAGATTTTGAAGAAAATTGCATTTTAGATGTGTGATCCCTTTAGATCAGCCCATGCAGTAGAGCAGATTGAGGCCTTGTAAGTTTCTCTTACTTTCCATTGAGTTTAAGGCTAAAGAGTGGGAGAAGTGGGCCGATCTGTTTTAGAGAATCTTGAATCAATTAGGTTTGAAAATGAACTTTCACTGAGAAAGACCATTCTTAGTTGAATGGAGTAGTTTCATATCTTTTAATATGATGTGTTTGGAAAGTGTTTCAGTATGTGTCAGAGAAGCGAATTCCTGGAACAAGGGTATATACATGGGGAGTATCAATGCATGGAGCTCTTGGATCAGAGTCACTTGTGAGACCTGCAACCAGGAAGCAGAAACCTCGTTACTATGCTCACAAGCCTTGTCGACTCTCCTTTGCTGAACAGTTCAAGGTCAGTTGTGCTCTTGAATTCCTACTCCTCTAATTGGGGTATGCGATTGTAGTTTTCCATCCCATCTGTATTTAAAATGATTGATTCACCAAGCCATAAATGTAGATTCCATCTCTGATCTCATATGCCACTGAGCTCTACAGTAGATGATTCTTTCATGGGCCATCCTATTAGGGGTTGATAAGGATATTGTAGTAAATCACTACTTCCCTAAATTATATTGATCAGAAATGACTATAGGTAGGACCTCTTTACTTTTCTGAAGAAGTGTCTGCTTAAGAAATTATTAAAGAGTTGCCACTAGAAATATGTGGCCAGATTCACATGTCATTAGAGGATACAAAGTGCCACCATCCATGAGAACCTCAGAGTCAAGCAACTACTTGAGTGCTCCCATGCCCAATGGGTGGACTCATCTCCCTAAAGACTCTGAAAGAGTCCTCCTATGTAAAGTGAGTGGTGAAAGACCAGTTGGTAGACCTCATGCAAAGTGAACTGACTGTATCACAAATCTTTGCCATGAGAAGCTTGGTATACTGCCTGTTGAGCTTGAGTCTGCCATGTAGGATTGTGAACAATGGGAGATGCTCCTGGACCTGCTCAAACTGGGAACTCCACTAAGTTGGGATAAGTGGTTTTGAAAATGCATGTGTATATTGATATACTCGTATATTGGCTTCAAGGTACAACTGCCACACATTCATGAAAGTCCTCAGTCTTTTTCCTGCATTAGTGTAGATAATCCAAAAGATACACAATAAGTTTCCTTTGAAACACTTAACTTGGAGTAATTAGATTTCTTCTGGTACCTCATTAAAAACTTAACAGCATTGTGTCACAGTCTTGTATTGTGTCATCTGAATATTTTCAGGTGGTAGACATTGCTTGTGGCTATGGGTTTTCCCTCTTCAAAGTTGACGACAAGAAGTGTCCTGCCAAAGTTTTTGGATGTGGCCTCAACACAGACGCCCAGATTGGTGAGAGAATAAAGAATTGTTTGTTTTTTTTCTTCTATATGTTGATTGGTTACTTCCAACAGTCTGGCATTAAGATGTGATTATCAAACATGTATTTGAATTTGAGCTTGAACTTGAACATTTACCTTCTTAAGCACTCTTCCATTCGTTGAGTTTAAGTAGGATACCGGAACTAGTTTTTTTTTTGTTGGTGTAACTGCTAGATTAGTGGAGTTGGGAACTCCATATCCATATCCTTGGAGTTGGGAAGGAATTCTCTGGGTACAAAACTTCTATATTGCAACAAAAACAGTTTTATGTTAAATCAAAAAGAATTGTGTGGTTCAATCAGAAAAAATGAGAAAGTTGGATCTAGACTGGGAATGAAATACATGGGAAAAAAAGCTTCAGGCTAGTGGAAATGTCATGTTTGTACTTCCACTGTGTCCTTGAAGTCATCATGCACAAACACCCTTCTAAAGTATAAAGTTGGTGCCTCAGTTATTCAGTCATTCTCAAGGAAGTATTCCCCTTGCTGTGTGATTTTCACTCTTGTTATGCCTAATCCACTTTTCAAGGCCCAGGATCTTAATTAGGATGATGACCTGAACTTTGATTTTATGGAAGATGTGTTACTACTTTGACAACTTTTTAAGACAAGAAGGTCCGATGGTACAACCTGCCTTCCCAACACGTTACCTCAACGACAACCTCGGTCGTCCTTAGGTCAACGGTCAACTTCTAGGTCGTCCTCAATTCCTGAAGGGAATGGCAGCAGGACGAGCCCATACCCTCATTTTGACTGAGGATGGTATTGTCTGGAGCCTTGGAAACAATGGTTATGGTCAGTGTTGCCGTCCCATCATAAAAGACGAAGACTATCTCAAGTCAAGCACAATTCAGCAGGACGAGCCCATACCCTCATTTTGACTGAGGATGGTATTGTCTGGAGCCTTGGAAACAATGGTTATGGTCAGTGTTGCCGTCCCATCATAAAAGACGAAGACTATCTCAAGTCAAGCACAATTCATCTTATTCATGGTCCATGGGACAGTGATGACCCCATCACAAATGTCACCTGTGGCCAGGATACCAGGTTTGCATCTTCTTTCAGCTAAATCTGAAGGTAGCCAAGAGTTAAGAAATCATGTTTTTTGTTGGAAGTTGTGTCAATCAGGATTTTATAATCACAATATTAAAATCATGTATTGTGAAAGATAACATCACCAGAAGAATGCATGCATATTCATTTTCAAATGAATTCATTATTGAAGCAAGTCCAGGAGCATCCTCCAGAATCCTGTGCATTTGAATCAAGTTCAGTGGGTGGAGTACTAAGCGTATTATGGAAAAACTTAGTGATATGAACCATCAACTTTGCACAAAGCCTACTAACTGGTCTGCCATTCAATTTGGAGTGGAACACACTTTGAGTGTATAACCTCATGCAGGAGTGATGTCCAAACCAATGGGCTTGATATATCCCAATGTGAAATAGCTGCTTGATGGATATTTGTTACCCTCTTTTTCAAGATTGCAATGAACAGGTTTGCCCTGGATTTCCATGAAGTGATTATCTATTGTTTCTTGTTTCTGTGCTCTCAAGAGGAAGAAAAGGGGAATGGCTTTCAGGAAGATGGGGAGAGAACTTTGCTTGGTTTTTTAACCCTTTATTACCCAAATTAAAATATAAATGATGTAAAACAAATTTTTATCATTTAACTGCTCTCAATGAAATGGCATTGACCACAAAAATACTAATTTCAGAAAAGGGCCTGCATTTCTATAAAGCCCTATATATATATATATACAGGTGAGTCAAAAGTCCTGCCCGCCCTTTGAATGAGAATAACTTCTCAACACTTGATCTCATCAAGATGCTGTTTTCACCATTTGAAAGACCAGCCAATTCTGTATTGAATGTGGGATTTTTGCATTATTTTCCTAATAGTATCATTCAGAAATTAAATTCCTATTCTGGGGGTTATACAAAGGCATTGGCACATGAAAACACGCTTGCGACACCGCATCCAATTGTCTGTTCGAGTGTGAGAGTTATTGTGCCTTGACTGTGATCAATTCAAATTCATGGAGGATTGAGGAAATGGCTGATAAGCGAGTTGCAAAAGTTTGGTTTTACTCCGAATGCAACAGAAAACGCTAGACAATTCTGGAAGAAATTAATTGGAGAAACCATCAGCCACAAGTTGTTTACCTGTGTCAACTCAAATTTTGACAGGACAGGTAACATAGCAGACCTTCCCCATTCTGGACACACTCTGGCAGTCAAACAGAAAATTAGACACAGTGCAGCACGCATGTTTCTTGCAGCTGACGATTTCTCCGATCAATTTCTTCCAGAATTGTTGAGTGGTTTCCTTTGCATTTGGAGCAAAACCGAACTTTTGCAACTTGCTTATCGGCGATCAATTGCTTATCAGCCATTTTCCTCAATCCTCCATGAATTGAAATCGATCACAGCCAAGGCACAAAAACTCTCACACTCAAACAGACAATTGGATGCTGTGCCGAAAGCATGTTTTCACCTTTGTATAACCCCCAGAATAGGAATTTAATTTCCAACTGATACTATTAGCAAAATAATGCAAAAATCCTACATTCGATACAGAATTGGCTGGTCTTTCAAATGGTGAAAACAGCATCTTGATGAGATCAAGCATTGAGAAGTTATTCTCATTCAAAGGGTGGGCAGGGCTCTTGACTCACCCCATATATATATCTATGTAGACTAACATTTGAACTTTAACTTTAATGTTGATTTTCTTATTGGAACCAAGTAATTTTGTGCTGTAATTTTAGAGGCAGAAAATTTTCACTTTACTCACAAACACATGGTAGTTCAGAACGGTCACTCATTGGATTTAACATCCCCCCTCCTGCAGTATTTTATACCCAGAAAACCAACTTCCCCTATCTACGAACCCAAAAAAAACCATACTTTTTACTGGGTAAAAATAAAACTTTCCTGCAAAAGCTTTTGTGTGTTGGTCTCATTCTAGCATGGAATTGTCTGAATTTTGAAAATAAGGTATCTTTATGACAATAATCCCCATGCGTGGAAAATTATATATATATTTTTTTAATTTTGCATAAAGAGAAGAAAATTAAGAAGTGACCAAATGTAAAGGCCCAAGTAGACATTTATAAATCCATGCAATGGCTTGAAGCCCCTGCCCATCTGACTGACATTAATGGAGCTCTGTATAGGTGGAGAATATACTCATATTTGAATACTCATCTTGGTTATTTGTTTTTCTTGTGTTATGTGCAGCTTTTTCCTCAGCAAGAAGGGTCAAGTGTTCTCCTGCGGTTGGGGTGGAGATGGTCAAACAGGACTAGGGCATTGCAATAGTGTCAGTCATCCTAGCCTCATTAAGGGGGATATTGAGGGTGAATGTATCTCCAAGATCTCTTCTACCTTTGACACCGTCTTAGCCCTTAGTGGTGAGCTTCCCTTCTCCATCTCTTGCTCTGTCTCTTTTCCTCCTCATGTTTTACTTTACTTGAACACATTAACTTCAGGCTAATGAGAAATGGAGTCATTAATAAGTTACATCCTTAAAATAGGCTTGCTAAATTATTTTATTTTAAGGATAGTTCCTGCTTCACAAAGTTGTTGCTAGCATTTCTAAGCCATTACCATCATAAATCTTGTAATATGAGAATAACTGTTATTCCCCCTTTATCAGTACTTGTGACTTATCTGAAAATATTGGCATTAGTTTAAACCATATAACCTCTTTATCATCTTGTCACTCCCTATCATAGAGAACTCACCAAATTGAATACATGAAGTTAACCTTTACTCGACAGATGTTTCCAAATTCGAACTGAGCATGAAAGTGGAAAAAAGTGAATTTTGCCATAATTTAACATTATGGCACATAGCATTTATGTGAAAAAATTCAAATGTTACGATATTCAAACAGCATGGAAAGCATGGAATACGGTCTTGCTTTTCTTTTAACTCATTAGATTTATTCAGCAGAGGTAAAACAAACTCGGAGCCAAGAGTCAGCTATTAGCTGATTCAGCTTTGATGCTGAATTTAGGGTTACTGTTCCCATGATGTAAGATCACTGTCCAACATCACAGTTTTGCCCCTGGGGTTTTTCATTTGGTATCCAAGACTTGTTCATCATTCTCTCAATTGTCCACTGATTAACATTAATAGGATTTCCAGTGACACCAAATGGAAAGTCTTTCTCTTATCCAGGCCAATTGGCTTTGTACATATAACACTGAAAGCAGATATGAGGAGTGCAATTGTCATATTAAGGAAAATATAAGTCTATATGACATTGTGTTGTTTATTTAGAGAAGCAGGAAGTGTTTGGCTGGGGGAATTCTGAGTATTGTCAGCTGGAGCCAGGTGGAATCAAAGAGATGAGTTGCAGTGTCCCTGTTCAATTGAAGTTCCAGCCAGAAATTGGGAAGATAGTTGACATTGCAGCTGGTGGCTCCTTGGTTGCAGTTCTCAATGGTAAGACATACTTTCTCCATCCCAATCACCCTGTAGAGAAACACATGAAACTCACTAATCTGTGAAAGGCATTTATAAGCAGTCCTTTCACTTATACCTGAAACTGTGTTGAAAATGTTAAAATTAAATTTTCACCCTATAAGGATGAGGGAATTCAGGACAAGTTCATTCACTGTGATTATATTCTTCTACAATTTTAGGAACCCTCCTTAAGTAAGTGTTGTTATTCGTGGTTTTTGTTTGACTGTCAATGTCTTATGGCACTCATGAACCCTGAATCCCCACTGCATTTTCACCATCTGCACCCCTGTTACCTATGGCCAGAAAAGAGCATGATTGCATTCTTGGCATGTACTGCTGCTAAAATCACTTCACCTTCCTGGTTGTCCTTATATAATTCCTGGAGAAACTTGC